AAGTATCTGCACTAAACTCAGAAAGACTCAACTTCAGCAGAAGTTACATTACATGTGTGCAAACATTTAGCCATACTTCCGAATTTGATCCGCACAGAGCATTTTGGTAGGTGATAAAAATATTGAATACTTGTGAGATGATAGTGAACAGTGACTGTATGCAAAAAATGCCTTTAAAACTATTTGCATACAGCCACAGGAAAAAATCTTATTTGCTCAAGAAGATCTGGTTTTGTTGGAAAACAATACAAGCTGCATATTGTGCCTGTGGTCACACAGTCTAAATAGTCTTCTAAATTTACAATACTGTGTGCATTACACTTACTTAGCAAGTTCTCATTTGGGATAATATCAGCATTTATGAAATAAATAAGTGCGAGACTCAGCGAGTTCTCATTTTGGTATTTATGACCAAATATGTGCAAGGTTCACTTTTGATGAGAAAGCAAAAAATAGGAACCTGCAGTCCCAAGGACGATTTCACAAAACAATATATTTCACATCTTTGTACTGCTTGCAAAAAGTAAAAAGCACAATCCAGTATAAATTCAGATTTCAAAAGGGATAAGGATACATAAGACCTGAATATGAATAAAAGAAAAACTCTAAACCTTTTTTCAATCCATTTAAGCATATCCTGCTTTCAAGTTCTCTGTCATGCCACTCACACAGGAGTGGTTAGTGACTCTGAATGCCATAACAAAGGGCCCAGGTTCAAATACTGGAGAAGGCATGATGTAAATTGTCTTTCTATTAAAGATATAAATTATTTTTCATAGGAGATAATGGCAGCCCCCTATTAGGTGCCCCATAATAAAATTACCACAGCTTCTGGACAAAGCCTAAAATGACTAGTGTCCACCATAAAATAAATAAATAAATAAATCTCTTTCAAAAAAAGACTTGATGGATAAGCAAATGTTGCTTTAAATCAGAATTTCTTTACAAAGACTTCAGATTAGTCTTGCAAAAATGAAGTTTTTTCTCTTGTGGAAATAAAAAAAATATTTTGCGATTTATTTTGATCAACTGAAAATTTACACACCTCATACAGGATCATCAGTAGTTTTTATCCACCTTTAATGAAAATCTACAAATCTTTTTGCCATCCCTAAATTCTGCCATTTGGCATGACTGAAGCAGTCTTGACGTCACATGATAAGGTTTCTTTTCTGCATGGCCTACATTGGTAAGCATGCACTGTTACTAATTAAACATCTATTAAAAAGACAGGAAGCTTCACTTCTGTGTAGAAAACATTTGTTTCTTCAAATTCTGTCCAAATGACTTGTAGTATACACACACAATGAGATTTCTCTCTTCTGTGGATATCCATATTTAAATCAATCTTTTACCATAAATGATTTTACATAACTTCATACACAAGGTTTCGCTCTGACATGAGTACGCATATGCTTGTTTAAATTATTCTTTTGTCTAAATGACTCATTGCATAATTGACAGAGATGAAATTTCTCTCTTGTATGAGTAAGCTTATGCTTCCTTAAATTACTCTTTTGGCTAAATAACTTTTTACAAACTTCACACACATGAGGTTTTTCTCCTGTGTGAATTAGCACATGATTCTTTAAATGACCCTTTTGACTAAAGGACTTTGTACATATTTCACACATATGAGGTTTTTCTTTTGTGTGAATTAGCATGTGCTTGCTTAAATCATGCTTTTGTCTACATGTCTTACTACATACCTCACACACATAAGGTTTTTCTCCTGTGTGAATACGCATATGCTCTTTTAAACTACACTTTTGACTAAACGTCTTTTTGCATACTTCACACAAATGAGGTTTTTCTCCAGTGTGAATAAGCATATGCTTGTTTAAATGACTCTTTTGGCTAAATGTCTTCATACATACCTCACACACATGAGGTTTCTCTCCCGTATGATAAAGCAGATGCTTGTTTAAATCATCCTTTCGTCTAAATGACTTGTTACATATTTCACACAAATGAGGTTTCTCTCCTGTGTGAATAAGCACATGTTTGTATAGATTACCCTTCTGTCTGAATGACAAATTACATACCTCACACACGTAAGGTTCCTCTCCTCTATAGGAATACATGTGCTCTTTTAAAATACTGCTTTTTTTTCTAATGATTTGTGAACCACTTCCTAGAATACCAAATTTCTACACTACATAGAAAACTATCAGTTGACAGCTTTGACAGTAGATAACTTGCTTCAGACAGCAGGATGATGTTCATTCTCTACATGGATACACAATGGGTCCTTTAACAGAAATTTCACACAAAGTTCCTGAACACTTCACTTTTCGATGTTGTGCGAAAATACATATATAATTATCTTTATTATATATATTAAGCATGAAGCTTATCAGGGATATTGTTCGCAGTCTTGGTTGCGTCAACTTGGCTTCTTTCCGGATATGGACGACATTTCATTCAAAACCAAATTGGTTCATGAATTTCGCAGCATGTAGCAGATTAACTGTGTAACTTAATTAATGTGCCGTAAGGCGTCGTTATTGAAAAATAAAGGGGGAAAAAATCATCGCGCCAACTTAAGCGTAGCTCTGGTACGCACAAAAGTACAAAAGTCGAAAAGTAAACATTGACATTCCTTCGTGGCTAGCCGTCCGAGCTGGGAGCTTCTCTTCACGGATTCTGGAGAAGCGATTCGTCGAGGCCAGTCACGTGAGTGGTCACCCACTCAAGTACTGAACCCGAGAGGAACTGTTTGAAAAAAAGAAGTTAGGCGAACCTAAAAGAGATGGGAGAGAAAAATAATTAGTAAAAAGTCCAGGTGTTTTCTACAGTTAAATACAGGGTAATGCGTCTAATTTGAATCTTCTGCGAACTCCATTAGAGACATTGCTGCTTGGAAATCCAGCATAAATTTTTCTGCAGCATTTTTCGCGGAGCGAATCTTCTGGATATCATTAATGACGTTACGTAGCATGTTATTAATTTTCGGAACTCTGAGCCATGATAGCGCTTCTGTTAGGTCATCTGGTGGGGGTTCGATGGCTTTCTTCGCTTTATCGTTGCTCATGGTACTTTGAGAGTTGTTGCTTTCTACTCTGGAGTTCGAGAGAAGTAAAGGGAAGTCTCCTTGTTTGGATATGAATGCTGGAATCTTTGGCATGGTGTATTTTCTTTCGTATTTCTTTTTATATACAGGGCACCCACGATAGGAACTGAGATGTTGTTTTGCACAAGAAATACAGGTCCGTTTTTTTTCGGGTTTAAGTGGGCAAAATTTACTGGGATGGTGATTCCACATTTGCAACATCGTTCGGTTTCGTGTATAAGTGCTGAGAGTGTCCATATTCTTGAAATCTAATATATGCGTTTCTTTGGCTGGTATTACTCAATCTTAACGTTAACGTTGAACACATTATTAAAATGTTGAATTATGTAGTCAGATGAATTTTTCTTTAGCTCGATGAGGAAAATAGGTATTCTTTCAAAATTGTTCTTTTTGCTGCGTGTAACATTGCATGCTTTGATGAATTGTTTGACTTTGATGACTTATATTTTTGATGATACTTCATTCGTTCTAGGTCTTCTTTGATCAGATTTTCTTGCATAGTTTCTGGCAGGTTTTTTTCAAAATTACTTTTAAAGTTTTTCCGCTCTCGAATTGATAGGTATGGAAAAGGATATTCTTTCCTTGTAACAGTTTAGTAGCAGCACGATATTCTTTAGAAGTCTTAACATTTACGTAGAGCGAATGAATTTTCATTTCGGCTTCAAATTCGTCCGTGTATACGGTATAAAGTAATTCTCTCACTTTCATCCAGTTAATTTTTTTTCTGCTAAAATACGATCGGTGGTGATATTTCTTCAGCTGTGGTTATTCTTTTCATTTGCATCCAGCTCTTGGAAACTATTTTCAGCAAGTATTCCCATCGGGATTTGTTCGTCTGGAATCAGCTATTTTGAGGAGTTGTCCCTTTATTCTTCTCGGTCTCCTTCGTCTGTACTGCATTTCGTGGTTTTCCATCCAAAGTTTCTAGTACGTTATCTACTCCGTGCGCTTTAATTTTTATCCTCAATATATAGTCACGCTTCTGATCTTCGGTCAAGTCTGCTTCAGTCGCGTTGCTGGTAGAAGGTTGAATCTCGCTGTCAGACATCGTCTTCACTTTCTTATTCTTGCTTCTTTTCGGCTTCGGTTCTAACATATATTCTTCTTTTCGAAGCAGGAAGGTTTCATTAGACTTGAAAGAAATCTCGGAATCTTCATCGCTCGTCACATTATCAGGATCATTTGGTGTCCTCCAAAAGGACATTTTAGGTTACCCGAAGGTAAACTCAATAGTAGTAATCATTGACCGCCTAAGATACTGGGTTAGTTCGTAAGAAATATGGAGAGATCTGCAATACGTGTGTCACGTTCGCTGTCACAGCTCCCACGACATTTAATTATGCCAACGGAAGTATATATCATGTGAGGAATAGGAACTAGGGAGAAAAGGAAAATATATCTTGAAAAGCGGGATTAAGAAGTGTATGTATTTTTTTTTTGGTAACTGATTGCTAATTTAGTTCTGTTATATTGCTATAAAAGTCAAGTATTGTGCATTTATGCCACAAACGCAGGGCAATTACTTTTGATTCGATATATATTAATATATCACAATCCCGCTCTCCCTTTTTTGGCGTCAAGGCTGTTCTCCGAAGAATATCCTAATGTAAACAAGCGTTTGCCCGATGAATTAACCAAAAAATTCGAAATTATCAATCAAAAATTATGCGCGCATTGTCATTGTGACGCACAGCAACCGCATCATTCCAGGGGCGTAGCTAGAGGGGGCAAGGGGGGCAACTATCCCCGGGCGCAGGATCCAAGGGGCGCCAAACTGATGTTACGGCATTTTAGAATTAAATATTTTCCATCCTTGGCAAGCAGTATGGGGCTCGAAATCTTCAGTTGTCCCTGGGCGCTGAAAACTCTAGCTACGACTCTGCATCATTCGTATTCCAATAAACCAAGGAAATCTATTTTAGGCTAACCTCCTTGGTTTATTCGGATACGAATAGATCTATTCTAGGATAGATTCTATTTTAGCCTATCCTCCTTGGAATAAACCGCATCGTGCAACTAATCAACACCGACTCTAGTGTAGTAACTAATGCGAGTAAAGAAATGAATTTGGAAGTACCGAATCGGTACTTCGAGCTAATCGATGTACCCGTTACTCAGTACGGTTTTCGTTGTTTCGGTATGTATATTATGAAGTTGTCTGCTTTTGCAGCAAAATGCTTCGTAAGTTATGTACCGTGAAACTGAATACTATGTAGCAGTTTCAAATAAGGAAGTTCTTAATGAATGCTGGTTAACAATTCTAAAAAATTCGAAATTTAATCATATTGTGGCGTATATGACTTCTGACTCATGAAATAAGCATGGTGTCAAATAATCGGGGACGAAATTATGGCTAGATCTTTCTACAGCAGAGAAAGTACCTTAACGCATCGTATATCGCATCCCTTTCTACTCTTGAAGGTTTCCGGCAAGTTTTAATCTCTGTGTGTGCCGAAGCGGCAGTGAATGAACAAAGTTTTTTCAAAGCTAATATCACGTTTCTTTGTTTTGAAACAGTGAACGAACAGTTTTTTTTACAAACTAATATGAAGTTTCTTTTTTTCTGTACAGCAAAATATTTTGCATATTGTGTGCAGTGAAATACGGAATCTGTTCAGCAGGTTTAAATAAGTAACTTCTTCAATCAAATAAGTGGTAATTAACAACTGAAGAAAAATAAAATTTCATACAGTTGGTGAAGTAGCATGTGTAATTTGATTGCATAAATTCATAATTAAAGTCTTATGAGTGATAGAACGAGAATTAATATTTATGCAAAATAGAAACATTTTTTATGATGTATTCCCAAACATCCTGTTGTGAAGTATATCACATTCTAAGTATGTGTTGTGTATAATATGTACTGTTATATTTTTAACCCTGTGCATTTGGGCAAGATAATTAAAATTACCGTGAAGCATCCAGCAACTACTTCATTTAAAATAAATGTGTGCAAAACACAAAGCGACATAGTAAGGTGTGTAGCGACTTATATGATATCAAAGTTGTCAGATTATATTTGTCTATATAAAGAAGTAATTTCACTTCTAAAAGATATATTAAATGTCATGCACAGAAAAAAATTTCTTTAATAAACTTGTACCTTCCATCTCAACAGAAAGTTCTATTGTATGAGAGGTAAGTAACAAGTCAATTAGAAGGGTGGATTAAATGAGCTTATGCTCGTTCACATAGGACAGAATCCTCATTTGTGCGAGGTATGTAAGAAGGTGGTTATGCTAAAGCCTAAGTTAAACCAGCATATATGGTTGTTCACGCAGCAGAGAAACGTTTTGTGAGTGAAGTATGTAATAAGTCATTTAGACTAAACTGTCATATAAGCAAGTATATGCATATTCACATGGGAAAAAAACCTCACGTGTGTGAGGTATGTATAAAGTCATGTATGCAGAAGTTTGAGTTGAAAAACCATATGCTTATTCACGCAGGAGATAAACTTCATGGGTGTGAGGTATGTAATAAGTCATTTGGAACAAAGAGTGTTTTAAATAAGCACATGCTTGTTCATACTGGAGAGAAACCTCATATGTGTGAGGTGTGTAACAAATCATTTAGGCAAAAGATTCATTTAAAACGTCATATATTTATTCATAGACAAGAAAAACCTCATGTGTGTGGGGTATGTAACATGTCATTTTCTGAAATGTTTATGTTAAATAAACATGTGCTTATTCATACTGGAGAGAAACCTCATGTGTGTGAGGTATGTAACAAATCATTTAGACATAAGTTTCAGTTAAAAGAACATATGCTTATTCACACAGGAGAGAAACCTTATGTATGTAAGGTGTGTAATGAATCATTTAGACTGAAAGATCGCTTAAAATGTCATTTACTTATTCATGAAGGAAAGAAACCTCATGTCTGTGAGTTATGTAATAAGTCATTCAGAGAAAAGCGTACTTTATACAAGCATATATTTATTCACACACAACAGAAACTTCATGTGTGTGAGGTATGTCATAAGTCATTTAGACTAAAATATCAATTAAACAGACATATATGCATTCACACAGGAGAAAAACCTCATGCATGTGAGGTGTGCAACAAGTCATTTAGATCTAAGTATCATTTAAACAGGCATCTACTTGTTCACACAGGAGAGAAACCTCATGTGTGTGAGGTATGTAGCATGTCATTTTCTCAAAAGTTTACGTTAAATGAACATATGCGTGTTCATACAGGAGAAAAACCTCATGTGTGTGAGGTATGTAACAAATCATTTAAATATAAGTGTCATTTAAAACAACATATGCTTATTCACACAGGTGAGAAACCTCATGTATGTGAGGTATGTAATGAATCATTTAGGCTAAAGGATGGTTTAAAAAACCATATACTTATTCACAAAGGAATAAAACCTCATGTCTGTGAATTATGTAATAAGTCATTCAGAGGAAAGTGTACCTTATATAGGCATATACTTATTCACACAGGACAGAAACCTCATGTGTGTGAGGTGTGCCAGAAATCATTTAGATTAAAGTGTGATCTAAACAGGCATCTACGTATTCATACTGGAGTGAAACCTCATGTGTGCGAGGTATGCAACGCTTCATTTGCTCAAAAGTGTGGTCTAAATGACCATATGCTGATTCATGCAGGAGAGATATCTCATGTGATAAATATGTAAGAAGTCATGTAGACTAAAGGGTGAATTAAACAGGCATTTACTTAATGACACAGCAGAGAAACCTCATGTGTGTGAATAACATTTCATTTGCTCAATAGTGTGGGTTAATTAACCATATGCTCATTGATGTAGGAGAGAAGCCTCATGTATGTGAAATATGCAAGACGTCATTTGTTGGATAATGTAGGTTAAGTGATCTCATTCTCATTCATGGAATAGTGTATATGTGATGGAGAAGTGTATATTCATATTTGAGATATGTTTAATAAGTCATTTAGGCAGAAGTTTCAATTAAAACGCATATGCTTGTATACAAATGAGGAACTTCATGCGTGTAAAGTATGTAATAAATCATTTGGAGGGGAAAAAATGAATTAAATAAGAGCATGCTGATACTGAGGAGAAACCTTATGTGTGACGTATGTAATGAGTCATTATGAGTAAGGTGTGATTTAAACAGCCATACACATGTTCATAGGGAAGACAAATCATTTAGAGAGAACTGTTCTTTAAACAAGCATATGCTTATTAACAAGGGAAAGGAACTCCATGAGTTACATGTATAACAAATGACTTGTGGTTTAAGAAATGAGATACATCTACAAATAATAGAAGCTTATTGTCTTCTGTGTAAAAGTTAATTAGAATCTTTTCTTAATTGTGTAGTTAGGGCTTGTTCATGCAACAAAGAAATTTCATTATATGAAGGGTGTGCAACTTGTTGTTTCATCTATATTCGTAGTTAAATATTTATTTATTTTCATGAGAGAAATGCCTTATGTTTGTAAGGTAAATTATTCTGAAGTATTACTGACTTAAAACAATATTTGTTATTTTACTAGTAATGAAGGGTTTGAAGCAGCATATTCCTAGACTGAAAGTTGTAGAAATATGCTGCTTTTAACATTTAATTCAGACTATTTAATTCAACTCATTTCTTTTATTCAGGCTTGGTTAATCTTTATGGCTATCACATACCTCCCATTTGTAAAATTTCTTGTTAATTGTTTGAAAGATTGAAAATTTTCATTGAAAAAAGTGTCAGTCATATATCACACTGAAATATGCTTTTCACAACATTTTTGTAGAAAGCACAAAGCTGTGAAATATATTTTGTGATATCTTTAGTACTGTAGGATGTTATTTTTTGGTACTCTTCTATATGCACATATATGTGGATGTACTGTGTATTCCAGCTTGAAGCATGCGTTTTTGATACAAAAAATTAGATCCAAATATATAGGTGTGTTATATGCCATATACAGTCAAAAGTCGTTAATCCGGACTCGTCGGGACTTCGGCGATTCCGGATTATTGTTTTTTCCGGATTATAGATCATCAGTTTAAATCTAGTAAGATGGCGTGAAGAAATTATAAAATTAAACATATGAAACCGTAATTTATGAAATAAAGAGCAATTATATGATCTAAAGGGTATCAAAATTTACAAAAAAAAAAAAAAAAAAAAAAAAAAAGCTTAATAATTATTTGTTTACTTTATTAAACATTTCTTTCAATGTTAAGTTGTTTAAGTTGCTTCATTTTTTATGTGATAATACTTTCTCTTTAATTCTATAAACAGATATAATTTCTTCTTCAGTTACAAAGTTCTGCTGTTCAAGTCCTATAATTGCTGTGTCAAGAATACCGACTAATTTGTCAATCAAAATTCTTTCGTTTTCGAAGAAAGTGACCTCTGTGTCACTTTCTTCGCTATCGGAAGCGAATTATAATGACGAGGAATTTGATTTAAATCATATCAAAGACGGAGTACATCGAGATGAAATACTACATTTAGTAAGGAATTATAAGCCAAATAAAATAAAAACATCTGCCCTGAAGATAAGGATAGTACTGACAGATCAATTTCCAGTTCATTGCGTGCCGCGACGTTCCCTTCCCCCCCCCCCCACACGCAGAGCACCGTGAAATTGATAAACAGATTTCGGAATGGTTAGATAAACAAATCCATTATCCTTTATCCATTTTTTGCAGCAATTCCACTTTTGTTTAATGGACTTCGAAACATACTTTCGCTTTGTAGATCCTTTACATATTAGTAAATATACAGTCAAAAGTCGTTAATCCGGACTCGTCGGGACTTCGATTCCGGATTATAGATCATCAGTTTAAATCTCGTAAGATGGCATGCAGAAATTCTAAAGTTAAAAATATGAAACCGTAATTTATGAAATAAAGAACAATTATGATCTAAAGGGTATCAAAATTTACAAAAAAAAAAGCTTAATATTTATTTGTTTACTTTATTAAACATTTCTTTCAATGTAAGTTGTTTAAGTTGCTTCATTTTATGTGACAATACTTTCTCTTTAATTCTGTAAACAGACATAATTTCTTGTTCAATTACAAAGTCCCACAGTTCAAGTCCCGTTAATTGCTGTGCCGAGAATACCGACTAACTTGTCAATCGAAATTTTTTCGTTTTCACTAACCTCTCTGTCACATTCTTCATGTCTTTATCCATTTTTTGCAGCAATTCCACTTTTTGTTGGACATCGAAACATACTTTCGTTTTGTAGGTCCTTTGGAAGTTCCAGCATCGGAAATTCTATCTGACATAATCGAAAGTTCAAGTTTACTTTTATAAAATTGCTCTTACAGTCTGCAAAAAATAATCAGCGGAATCCAATTCGAAGATTAAGGAACAACGCAATCATTAACATTAACTGAAATAGATAATTAGATAATTTTAGCTTACACCGACCGTTATACATTAAACGCGCAGGCGAAAACGTATTCTGCACTTGCGCACACGCATATGCGCAGTAGTCAAGGTCTTACGCGCATGCGTAAAACGCCTGTGCGCATGTGCCAACACGGCGCATGCGCAGAAAGTTTTTAGCTTTGAGGTCCGGATTATGGGTGTCCGAATTAACGACTTTCGACTGTATATCGGGAATTCTATTTGACATAATCGAAAGTTCAAGCTTACTTTTATAAAATTGCTCTAACAGTCTGCAAAAAATAATAAGCCGGATCCAATTTGAAAATTAAGGAACAATGCAATCTGCAACATTAACTTAATTAGATAATTTTAGCTTATCTTATACCATCCATTATATATTAAACGCGCATGCATAAACGTATTATGCACATGCGAACATGCATATTCGCAGCCGTAAAGGTCTTGCGCGCATGCGTTAGCGCGACGCATGCTCAGAAAGTTTGTAGCTTTGAGGTCCGGATTATAGATCATTCCAGATTATGGGTGTCCGAATTAACGACTTTTGACTGTATTAGAAAAAGAGTCATACAACTTCTAGCAATTGGATTACCTTTGGTAGTTTTGAATATGACCTTTAGTTTCTGGAGCCTTAAAGATCACAACCTGATTTACTGAGAAGTGAACAAAGCCATTAAAGTCCATAATCCCGACTTGTTGGGACTTCGGCGATTTCGGATTAGGGGTTTTTCCGGATTATAGATCATCAATTTAAATCTGGTAAGATGGCATGCAGAAATTATAGAATTAAAAATATGAACTGTAATTTATGAAATAAAGAGCAATTATGATCTAAATTGTATCAAAATTTACAAAAAAAAAAAAAAAAAAAAAAAAGCTTAATATTTATTTGTTTACTTTTTTAAACATTTCTTTCAATGTAAGTTGTTTAAGATGCTTCCACAAAATATTCAAAAAGTTCCTTTTTCTGTTGTCATACAATACCATACTCCTCGCATAATTTTGAGACGGATATGTCTTAATCCATTTTTTGCAGCAATTCCACTTTTTGTTTGATGGACATCGAAACATGGTCTCGCTTTGTAGATCCTTTGGAAACTCTTTTTGACATAATCGAAAGTTCAAGCTTAGTTTTTATAAAATTGCCATAACAGTCTGCAAAAAGTAATAAGCCAGATCCAATTAAGAGGGTATCACTTCTATGGAAGTGTGTGGCTACGCAGGACAGTTACGAGAAAGGAGATTCTAGTAGCACTGCTTCCGAGAAATGTTTTTTCTAGCTAGGAGGAATATGTCCCGGCTACGAGCAACATTTTAAAACTTTTCTGAAAATGTTCTGAAAATGAAAATGTAGATAAGTGTTCCTCGAACATTCAACGAATCAGACAAAAGTTCTGCTTTGGAAGGATCACGGGTAACATATAACTGCCTGAGTCATTTTTAAAATGTTTATACATTCATTAAATATATAATCATGGAAATTTCAGAGTTGATGACAGTATTTTATGACATTCTTGCAGTTTGGATTTGTTTACAAATAGTTCGTCATCAAAAGTTCGCCAAATTTGTCGTATTTCGTGCTGATCATGTGAATTATGTTACTGGTATATAATAGAATTTTATTTCTTAAATTTAAGTTGAATAATTTTTTTAAAATCCTGTTTCTATATGTGCGGCTTTACTCTTCTGCCAATTAACTTTTACTTTTTTTAAAATTATTAATTGTATAATCAGTGACACATTTTAAACAGCATAAAAGATGCATAAAAAGAAAAGCATAGCTTATGTAATAATGAGAATACTCATTAAATTTGTCTATTATTTTCATGTTATTAATGAAATAATTTTTGGATTATAAATACATTAGAAACTATACTTTTATTGCAAGTGCTACATATTGAAACATTGGAAATTTATGGATTTATTATTATCCATGATGAAAAACATTTGTATATACATTCATTAATATAAATCTTATTCATTACATTAATACGCTGGCTGCATGGGCGTTTTCGTGGTTTTCCCCATGTGTAACGTGTATATGAGCCAGTTTCCCTTAGAAAGTCCTCCACGAAGGCATCCCTCCCCTTAGGCAAATAGCCCTAGTGTGCTTTGCCGTGTCAATACACCATTACATTAATACTAATAAATATATATCAACAACTTCTAAACCATTGCATCTCTCTATCTGTATGTAAATATATGACTTATTAGATGTGTATGTATATATATGTATGAATACAAAAATGAACATAGCCAAAAAGTTTATTTGAAGTTACTTTTAATTCATATAATGATCATGTAATTTGCAGTGACTGTAGTCATCTGTTTTTTGCAAATTATTATGGATATGTAGTAATCAGTTGAAAAATAATTGATGAGCATTTGAGTACTAAAGAGTGTACACATTTTGTTATTGGGTTAATTCATAATTATATCATATGTATGATCTACATAATATAAACATGACTAATAAATAATAAGAAATGTAACAGCTGTTCATTCATAACATTTGATTACTTAAAACAGTGCACAACTGATTATTACCTTCATGTCTATTTACATAGTGAATTGTACTTTCCAATTAAGTGCACAGACCTACTAGAGGCTGAAGCATCGTTGAACACTGTTAGTTCTGTCTCAGGTTAGAATGCTGCGAACGGACTGGCTACATGGGCATTTTCTTTGTTTTCCCCATTTGTAACTGGTATATGAGCCAGTTTTAAAAAATCTTCTACAAAGGGATCCCTCCTGTTAGGCAGATATCCGTCAAGGCTCTGCCGTAATCACACAAAATAAACTCGTGATGTACACCTCCTAATTTCTAGAGTTGGTATAATTAATGTGTTTTAGGTATATTACCGAGTGTTCTATGGGACAGTAAACAACTTGCACACGTTTGATTGCTCATGTTTTCATATACTTTATTTAATCTTCATTTTGCTGAATAGTATCTGCTGGCTGTGAGGATATAAATATCAGCCATATACTTTTTTTGTCATATAAGGTTTTTTTTTTTTTTTTTTTTTTTTTTTTTTTTGTCTGTTTGTTTGTTTGAATGGACAGAACAGTAATTATGAACCATAAAGTTAGTCAAGAAAATGCTTTCACAAGGTCACAAATTTTCCAGTGAGCCATCAAATTTTCATTGGAATGCAGACAACAGAAAATACACATAAGTAATATCTGATAAATAGACTTATCCAGCACACGTTTTAAACTATTCTTAGTGTATACAGAATTTGGCTATTACTGATGTAATTGATTGCTATAACCAGAAGTGTGTTTATCTGTTACTTGAAGTGCCAGAGTGCAGATCAAAGTGATTAACTTGATAGCAATCACTTGTCTATTATCTTCCATAACTAACAATAAAGTTTAAAACGAAAAGAGTGTGAGCGATACAAAACAATACGAAGAAGCAAACGTCATTTTTGCCAATCTGAGTGATAACTGATTCTTGCTTGGCTTTCGGCCTATTTACCAAGTGAAGATGGTAACCTTATTTCGCAAAAGAACGATTCTCAGAACTGTTCCACCTAACGTTTTGTTCCGGCAACAAATATCATATGTGATAGGGTGTTAGAAGATTATGGAGCAGTGCAATCTGCAACATTAACTGAAATGCCTTAGAATCAGTAAAGATAATTTTAGCCTAGCTTGTAC